GTGTTAGGAATGGTTTAAAAGAGAGAGTTATTTGTAAATATTGAATATCTTTGGGCTTGAGAGAGAAATTTTGCAAATACAAAGCACTAGAATATTTGTGAAAGAGTAAACAAAATAAAGGAAACTTGTAATATGCTTGCTTAAACTATGAACTTTTAAAGTCAATTTTTGGATGATGTTAAATCATCTGGAAAAAGTAAGAAATAGGTTTGATAAGGCTTAAATGTTAGGACAGTCAGGGCAAACAAGGATTATCGATTGTTAAAATTAAACTTTTTCCCATTTTCTTCTTTTATCTTGTACCATTCTGATTCTGAAATGATTACTATAGCTTAACTTATTTGCCAAAGTAAATCAACATTTGAAAGATACAAGGGAATGCTGTATTTGTAGAGTTTATTAGTTCTTAAAGAATCGTCTAAGTTTTCAGTGTCTTTATGATATTTTGAATTTATTGATATACTTTGCCTCTGCAAGTTTAAGGGAGAAATATAATAAAATAGGGTTACATGATATATAATATCTTATTCTACATTATTCTTCCCTTCTCCCCCCATTTGACTGTGGGTTGGCAGACCTATTGCTCTGCTGTTATCTTTGAGATACTGGTTCTGTAGCTAAAAGCATGGCTTTGAAGGCTGTCTGCTCTGGGTTAAAAACCTCAGTTTTCCCATTGTTGGCTCTGATTTTTCTTTCCCTTCCATCCTCCCCTCTTTCCCTTTTTTTCTTCCTTGTGGCGGGAGTGTGTTATTTAAACTTTCTAAGCTTCAGTGTTAGTACATGTAAAACAACCATGCTTGTCTCACAGGATTGAGGATTAACTGAGCTTGTGAAGTAATGTGTGGCGCAAAGGAGGGTTTGGTAATTATGTCAGGTTTTTCTTCTTTTTTTGAGCACTCAGCTATTACTTTTGCAGGAAGCAGTTGCTAACTATGTTTTGTTTGGTGAACAGATTTTTGGCACTAGATCTATACAGAAATATTTGGAAAGCTCAAGAAAAGAAGGTAGTTACCTTTCTCTCCTATGTGTATGTATACTATTCATATTTTACCCTTTATTTGCGGTTTCACTGGAGTGGACATTCTAAGAGGTATGGAACAGAAGCTCTTGCCCCATCCCTATGTGAATCTCGACTTTAAAGAGACAGGCCATAAGCATAGATTACATTCTGGATATCTGTGTGGAAAGAATAGTGCAAATGTTGTGTTGCAGAAGTTCAGAGAAAGTTAAAATCACCAACAGCAGGAATTGGGGAAGGTTTTTAATGCAAGAGGTAGTTTTTGAGGAAGACTAGCTCAAAATTAAAGGAGAAGAGTGGCAGAGTTATTCTAGGTAGGGAGAAGCTGGTAGACAGGTTAGTGTATATGAGGTCTGTCCAGAAATTATGCAGCCATGTAATATGAAAAGTAGAGACATTTCTTGAAGAAGATACAAGATACAAGAAACATTGTACGTAGGACAATGGTGCCTCAATCCCCTTCAAAGTAAGACACCTTGGGACCTAACACAGTCTCCCAATTGTCATCAGCTGCCTTGTTGTTTTTTCCTGAATGTCATCAAGAGTCTGAAATCTCTTCCCTTTCAAAGGTGATTTTAGTTTTGGGAAAAGCCAGAAGTCGCAGGGTGCCAAATCTGAGCTGTAGAGGGGTTGAGTCACATCTCTGTATGAGACAAGATGCATGAGCAGGCACATTGTCATGATGAAGCCGCCAATCACCAGTTGCCCATAGCTGGGGCCTTCTGAATCATCCGAATAGTTTCCGCAGAGGAATGTTCAAGCCTAACTCAAAAGTGGATGCGGATTCATTGCTCTACTCACTCAGCCATTTTGAATGCAGTGGCCGCACAGTATACAAGCTCACTCAACGTCATCTCGGTGCCAGGCAGAAATTTAGGGGAGGGGATACACAAGGGGGTGATGGTTGATTTGGGAGTCATCTGCATGGAAATGTTTGTTACAAAGCCGTGAGTGGATTAGACCCTGGTGAATCAGAGGGTCAATGAAGAAGACCGTAGGGATGCAGCAGCGAAAGTGAAATCACTGAAGGAACTAAAAGGAGGCCTGTAAGACTGCAAGGGCCACTGGAACACAGAAGCCCCAGGAGAAGAGGGTTATTAGAAATGGATATAGTTGGGAAAATTAAATGCAGAAGGGTGGTAAAAAGGGACTAGAAAAGGGCATTTTATTTTGGTAGACATTAAAACTATGGTATTTTCTAAACACTTACATAGAAGACTCGGTTGTAAAACTGAACCCAAACTGCTCCAGAGTCTGTTTTCTCACTGCTGTGTAGAGTTAAAAAAGCTAATCTTCAGTATGTCGGGACCATTTCCAAGTTTTTCTCAGGCCAACCTGCAATTTTTAAACCCCTTTGCCACATTTCAGTGCTTGTTTTGTTTTTTTACAATTAGTTTACTTTTGAAACAAATGCTTTATTTTCCCATGAAATTACTCTGTGAGGAAAATTTTTTAGAATTTATTTTGCAGGTCAGAGTATTGTTGATGTATATATAAATGGTTTTGAAAATAAGACGAGTGACATTTTGTTTGTTAGAGTTATTTTGTTTTTATAGTTAACTCTTTAATAAACTAGTCAAATTGCAAAACCTGGTTCTGGGGAGACTGATCAATTTATTTTTGAGAAATACACATTAATTTTTAGCATTTTTCTTTTAACTTTCAAGAAGTACAATTACCTTTGTGAAAGTGAACATACTAGTGTCTTGCACTTAAACATATGAAATTGGTTGTGGTGTTTATAACATATCTGCCCTCTGCTGGTGGGAATGCATTATTGCTCTTAACCCATTACCTTCAGTAACTTCTTTGAATTAAATAATACTCTATAACATTTTAGAGTGGCCATAAAATTAAATTTGAAAAAAATACCTTTATTGTTTGAAAGGAATATGTCTTTTTTTTGGGCAGGCCTACAAGTTAATTATTCCTGTCCAAAAGACCATAGGTGAGAAATACTGACTTTACTGATGACTATTATACATTGTGTGTTTGTGGTTTTGAATTTCTCTCTAAATTCTAGATCTTCTCTGTTCACTGTTGTAGCCAATAGTCATTTGTGGCTATTTAACTGATGTTAAATATTCAGTTCCTTCATTCCACTAGCTAGCTACATACAGCCACATGTAATAGCTACATGTGGCAAGTAGGGACTGTGGCAGATTAAAGAGTATCACAGAAAGTTCACTTGACAGTGCTGTTATTATTTAAAATTTTATGTAATAAGGATTATTTTCATGAAGTAATCATTGTTTTTAAATTTGCAATGAATTTCTTTTTCATGTACCTTTCTCACATAAAGTTTATTAATAAAGAGCTCCATCAGTGGATTGAGCACCGACCTACAAACCAAAGGATTGCAGTGCGGTTCCCAGTCAGGGCACATGCCTGGGTAGCAGGCCAGTTCCCAGCAGGGGGCACAGGAGAGGCAACCACACATTGATGTTTCTCTCCCTCTCTCCTTCCCTTCCCCTCTAAAAATAAATAAATTTAAAAAATTAAAAAAAAATAACGAGCTCCAATTAAGAGAACCAATTTAGAAGGATTTTAGTAAAGATTTTTTGTTACTGTGTAATTTATTGTACCTTATATATAGTTATTGTCAGGTGATTACAGTATAGTTTTCTCAATGTAGAACATTGAACATTTCTAGTGTTTTCATTCTCTGAAGATAAAAGTTAAGTTAAAAATATGGTCATATTTTCTCTGCCATTTAATTGAGGAAATAGCTTTTTTCTCTGTGATGCATCTTTAAGGTAGATTAGAAAGCTATAACTCAGCATATGAAGAGAAATAAAGACTTTATAACAGTGTGAATTGTAGTTAAGTATTTGTTGGTTGATTTAAAAAAGTAGACACTTTACCCAGCTTCCCCTAATGGTAAACAGCTTGTAAAAACATTAGTGTAATATAACAACAAGGATTTTGACATTGGTGAGATCTACCAGTTTTACTGTGATTTCTACAGTTTTACTTGTACTTACACATGTGTGTGTATTTATATATATGTGTGTGTGTGTATTTAGTTCTGTACAATTTTATCACATGTAGATTCATGTATCTGCCATCACGGTCATGATATAGTACAACTCCATGACCACTAAGATCTCTTTCATTGCCATTTTACAGTCACACACATCTTCCTTCCCATTCCCCTCCTCCCCACTAATCTGTTTTCTACGTCACCAAAATTTTGTCTTTTCAGATATGTTATATAAATAGAATCATATGATACTTACGAGGTTGGCTTTATTACTTAGTGTAATTCTTTGGAGATTTATCCAAGTTGTTGCATATATTAATAGTTCTTTTTGTTAATAAGTAGAATTTTGTGGTGTGTGTGTAACTGTGTATCATAGTTTAACCACTCCCCTGGTGAAGGATTTCTGGGCCATTTCTAATTTTTGACTGTTATAGATAAAGCTGTACATTTATGTACAGCTTTTTGTCTGTTGATAAGTTTTTATTTCCCTGGTAAGTGCCCAGCAGTGCATTTGCTCGGTTGAACAGTAATTCCATGTTCAGAATCTTAAAACTGTCAAACTTTTGCAGAATGGCTGTATTATTTTACATTTCTTCCAGTAATATATGAGTGATCCAGTTACAATGTCTTTATTGCTGTAACTTTATAAATCAGGTAATGTAAGTCCTTCAACTGTGTCATTCTTTTTGAAAGTTGTTTTTGGTATTCCAGGTCACTGAATTTCCATATGTATTTTAGAAGCAGTTTATCAGTTTCTACAAAGTAATCTTCTGCGATTTTAATTGAATCACTTTGAGCCTGTGTATCTATTTAGAAGAGAATTGACATCTTACATTATAGAGTCTTTCAGTCTATGAACAAAGTATATTAATTTATTTAGATCTCATTTAATTTCTCTGAATATTTTATAGTTTTAAGTATATAGATCTTACTTAGCTTTAGCTTTCGTCGAATTTATCTACATTGCCTTTTTTTTTTTTTTTTTTTTTTTTTTTTTAAATTGTCTTCTCATGCCTTTAAGAGCCAGCCCTATGCTCTGGGCAGCCCTCCTAAACTGAGAGGGAGATTGCTGTGTGTCCTGCCAGACTCCCCTCTTACAAACGAGCACAGGGGAGCAGAGAAAGCACAGGCCAGGACAAGTCTGGGTTGCTTTTTTAAATGTTATTGTAATGGTATTTTTAAAACTTTAATTTTTTATTGTTTTTGGCATATGGAAATACAGTAGTCTTTTGCCTCTTTATCTTTTCTTCTGCAACCTTGCTAACCTCAGGTGTTTGTTTTATTAGCTTTTTTGTTTTTGTAGATCTGGTCAGCCTTCCTACCTAGCTGATTGTCATCCTCAAAAAAGATTATTTTTACTTCCTCTCCTGTTTGGATGCTTTTAATTTCCTTTTTCTAGCTGTATTTCACTAGTTTGAATCTTCCATAACATAGAAGTGTTCTTGTCAATATTGGGTGTTGTCACTGTTTTTATTGTAGACATTTTGTTAGGTGTGTAGTGATTCATAGTGATTTGCATTTCTCTAATGGCGTTGAACATCTTTTCTCATGTGCTTGTTTGACATTTGTAATATCCTCTTCAGTGAAATATCAGTTAATCTTTCAGTTTTTAATGACTTTAAATAATTTCTTATTTTTCAATTACAATTGACCTACAATATTAGTTTCTGTGATTAGACATTATATAACTAAGTTATCAACTCAATGATAAATCTAGTACCCATCTGACACCATATATAGTTATTGCACTATAATCAACTATTCCCTGTGCTGTAATTTATATTCCTGTGAGGATTCTGTAACTACCCATTTGTCTTAATCCTTTCACCTCTTTAACCATCTTCCAAATTCCCCTCCCATCTTAAAGAAGACCCTATAACATTTGTTCCAGTACTGGTTTGGTGGTGATGAGCTCCTTCAGCTTATTCTTGTCTGGGAAACTCTGTCTTGTTAGAGATGTTGAAGGCCGAAGTATTCAGATTTTTCAACCTTAAGTATGTTAGCCATAGGTTTGTCATAGATGCCTTTTATCAAGTAGAGGAAATTCTTGTCTGTTACTAGTTGGCTGTTTGTTTTTTTAAATCAGAAATGGATGTTGGATTTTATCAAATGCTTTTTCTGCATCTATTGAGATCATGTAGTTTTTCTTTTTTAAGTGTTTACTGTAGTGAATACATTGATTTTGCATGTTAAACTAACTTTGCATTCTTGGGACAAACCATAGTTGGTCATGATGTATTCTCTCTTATATATTCTTGGATTTGCTAAAACATTGTTTGCAGATATTTATGAAGAGTGTTGAACTGTAGGTTTTGTTTCTTGTTGTGCTTTTGTCTGGTTTGGGTATCAGGGTTTTGTTGGCCTCTTGGAATGAATTGGGAAATAATTGTCTTCCACTCTTACCTCTTTTTCCCCACAGTTTCCTGAAGGGTTTATACAGAATTTGTATCATTCCTTAATTGTTTGGTAGATTTCCCTGGTGAAACCATGTGGGTCTGAAGTTGTTATTTTTTTGTTTTTTTCCTTTGCTGAAAGGTTTTTAACTATAGCTTCTGGTTCTTTAATAGATATTAGGCTATTGAGGTTATTTTTCCCTTCTGGAAAGATCTCATTTGTGCCCTTCAGGGATCTGGTGAACTTATTAGCATAAAGTTGTTCATAATATTCCTTTACTATCTTTCTAGTACTTGTACAACCTGTAGTGATGTCACTGCTCTCATTCCTGATACTGATTCTTTGTGTTTTCACTTTTTCCTCTAATCAGCGGCCTGGAGGTTTATCATTTGTATTAATATTTTAAAATAATCAGCTTTTATATTAATTGACTTTGTTGTTTTCCTGTTCTCTGTTATATTGATTTCTGTCCTGGTGTTTATGCCACCTTTGTTTCTGAAAGGTATCTAAGTATGGTAAACAGTTTTAGCCAAACAGCATTTTACTTCCAGTACTTTTAAGATAATTGTTTCACTGACTACTGCCTTGCACTGTTTCTGATGAGAAATTCGTCATCATATTTATTCCTTTGTGTATAATATGTTTTTTTTTCCCTGAGATGCTTTTAAGATTTTTCTATTCATCCCTAGTTTTAAGCAATTAAATTATGGTATATCTTCAGATGATTTTCTTCCTATTTCTTGTGTTTCTTTGAGGTTTTTTGGTCCTGCAGTCATATATTTTTCAAAAATTTGGAAATATTTCTGCAATTATTTAAGTACTTTTTTTGGTCACCTCATTCTAATTCAGAGAATTAGGCTGCTGCAATTGGCTTTTTTTGTTGTTTTCATTTTGGATGGTTACTATTGCTTTGTCTTCAGATTCTTTAATCTTTATATTTCTGTACCATCTAATCTTCTGTTAATCTTATCCAGTGTATTTTTTTCCTATCAGGCAGTTTGATATGGGAGTGTGTGTGTGTGTGTGTGTGTGTGTATGTATGTGTGTATACATAATATATATAATCATATTCTATTCCATTGCTCACCTTAACTTGTTCAGTCTTTTCTATAGTTTGTTGGACATATGGAAGTTACAGATAATAGTGGTTTTACTGTCCCTGCCTACTAATCTTATAATTATGGAATTTTGGGGTTGGTTTCAGTTGATTGGCTTTTCTCCTGTTTTATAGATTATATTTTTCTTATTGGTGACTTTTGCATACTAGTTCTGGATTTTTTTCATATTTCTATAAATATTCTCGAACTTTTTCTTTCTTTGGTGCAGTTATTTGGAAACATCTACTCTTCCAGATTTTGCTTTTTAAGGTTTATTAGGTGAAACTAGAGCAGTGTTTACTTCAGTTAATTTTTCCCACTAGTGAGGGAAAATTTTTTAGATACCACACGTTCATGATGTGATGCCGCTTTTAGTCTGGCTGACGGGCACAGACACTATTCCTGACTGTTTCGAACTTTAAGATTGTTCCTTCTAATTGTTTTAGGTGGTTCTTTCTCTACTTTCTGTGGTTTCCTCACCTGTGCATAGTAATCAGTGATGTTTTATAGATCCGAGGAATTCTCTGTGTATCTCTCTCGTACTTTGCCTAATGAAGTCTAGCCACTTTGGTCTCTGTAGACACCACGCTTCATCTCCTCAAGTCAGGGATGTGACAGGAGAGTAAGAAGCTAGAAGAATTCCGGGGCAAGTAGAATGGGGAAACTTGAGACAAGAATATTAAACATGGCCAAACAGAGCATCTTACAGCCAGCTGGTGAATTACAAGAACTTATCTCCCTTAACCAAGGACACTGTAGAGCAAATGGTTTATACCTCTCCTCCCTAACCAATGGAATGGGTACATAGCTTAAATCTCCCTGGTCTGGGAAGTGGAGGACAGAGACCCAATTAATGACATTTGTGATGGCTAAACAGAAGGACCCAAGGACCCAAGATGAAGTCAGGGGAACAAATAACAAAACTCCATTAAAAGCCAGACACACCCAAGATAGAAGTAACACAGTAGTATAGTGGACCAAAGAATATTCACAAATTCCCCCATGCACTCATTTTGATGCACCAGCATATTAAAAATGTACCTGGAAAGCTGATGAATATTCTATTGAAACCCTTCCCTAAGAGTCTCACTGCAGAAAAAAGATAAAAAGTCTCCAGGAAAAGGACTGAGGGCAGGCTTGCTTTAGAGCACGCGCATGCCTCTTGTCTAGGCATGAACTTTTGTTGTACCTCTTAAAGTCTAAGGGTCCCTATGAAACTTGGAGCCAGGAGAGCAGTGGGCAGTGGCACCTCTACCCAGGCCTACTCCCTGATCATTTCTCCAAGGCCGGAATGAGCTACTGCAGCCCCACCTTGGCTCACTCCTTTCCTGTAACATTTCCTATAATATTCCAAAGTAGAACACTGACTAGGCTCTCTCCTGTTACTACTTATACTTGAAGTTCTTCCTTTGTCTCACTGTCCCCAGCCTTAGTAAATGTACTCTCAAAATTACTGGGACTTGTGTTGTGAAATCTTTTCTACAAGAACTCAAGAACTCACGCACTACAGGCTAGCCTGAGGCAGACCTGCTCCAGGCTGTGCCTGTCAGGTGACATCTTCAGGAATGTTGTTTTAGGTATTAATATTTTATTTGGTTTTTAAGTTTTTTTTTGTCAGTAGTCTGTCCCTTCATATTGGTTAGAAATGGAACCCACTACAGTATATTATTGGAAAAGGCATGAAAAGAAAATTACTTTAAAACTTTTTTTTTATTAAAACTTTTCCTAGGGTCTTTGAAGAGAATAGTGTAAACCCCCGAAATAAAAAGCTAAGGTGAGATGCAATAAATGTTTATTTTAGATCAAAGAATAGCTATCAGGGAAGCATTGATTCAGGCAGAAACTTAAATAATATACTGATTATGAGGTCAAGGCAAGGAGTATTTATGAGAAAGGGGAGGGAAATAATTCCATAAATAGGGATTTCTGTAGGTGCAAATAAGCTAAGTTATCTTTAGCTTACTGATACATGGTGGTGCTAATTCTAAAGCATGTTCTTAATTTTGATCCCTAATAGTCAAGATATCTGCTTTTTTGTTAGCTTTACAAAAGCTGTTTGGAATACAGTGTTGCTGTTCCCCAGTCTAAAGGTTATTTTGCCTCGTTCAAACATTCCAAGGGTTTGGGGAGTAAGACATGCAGCGTAATTCCTCTGGGATGGTGGCTCCAACTTCATTTTGAAATGTCTCCTTTTACAATATTTTCACAATAGTTATAGTTAATTTTTTTAGAGCATCTGGTTATGTAATACTTAGTTACGAACACACATAGGAGAAAATGACAACTATTGATATGTTGCTGCTACTACTCTGTTCCAGTGTCCATTCTAAGCCTGACTCTGCTAAAAGTGTAAACAAGCATATTAAGAAGGCTTTTTAAAAAAAGCAACAGTTCTAATATACAGAAACACAAACTTTTAAAAATTTAGATTAATATTTATTTGATAATTATTGTCATCTGGGTACTTAATTTGCACTTTCAACAGTTGAGTTTCTTTCTTTTGTTTTTTGAATTGTTCAGTCACCGTTGTCTATTTTCCCCCTGTTGCTCACCTCTGCCCCCCACTGTCAGTCCCAAACCCATTGTCCATGTCCATGGGTCCTTTGTACATATTTCTTGACTTGACCCTTCTCCTTCTTTCCCCGTTA